AGCAATGCCACTTGTATTTTGTTGTGTCATGGAAGCCATTATAACGTTATGGTGACCTGCTACTTAAAAAATAGCTTACTAGCCTACATAAAGAACATCTCAGCACAGCTGAGTCATGAGGATGTTTTTTCCATATTCCGTTTCAGTCCTGATACTAGTTAGAAATCAGCTTTTGACTTGTGCCTGGACTGTTCCATAGCCCAGAATAAAAAAAACTGAATGCACATTGGACACGTACAGACCTTGCCAAAGGCATAAATTGTATTAAATGAGCCATATTTGATTTAGAATACTCCCAGACTAAGTAATTCCTATGGGTAGAGCCCTGTGTTTTTTAAAAAATAAGATTCTGGAGTATCATCCAGGTGATATAAAATTATCAATTTGACTGAAATATACTGGGGTGTCTTGTTTATATTGCTCCTTTATACCATTGTTCAGACCACTCAGTTCAGCTGAGTTTCCCAAACTTTTTCTGCATCCAGCCGCATGCTGCACATTTTGTCTTACCTAGTTGTGTGTTACTTTCATTTACCTTATCTTGCATTTTAATAGTTTCACAATTTTCAGTGAGCCTAGACAGCACTGTAGTTTTGATAGTGGTAAGGGAAAATCCCTTTTATTTTGCTCAGTCAAATAAGTAAGAGACATTGCCTGTACTTGCTTCTTGAGGGACATAAGTTGTTGATTAGTTGTTCATAGGTCTTCTCTGTTCTGACTTTCAGCCCTGTCTCAATCTCAGCTTCCTCTCCTCCTGCAGTTAATTACCTTTCCTAGGTTCTTCTCTCAACTCCTTTCCTCTTTAGGGAGTTGTGTTCATTAATATAAATATAAATAAATATAATATAAAGCTCAAAATGTGTAAGTCTTCCACCTAGATTCCCACATGCTTTTTCTTCTTACTCCTCTCAGCATCTTTCTCTTCCACTCTTCAGCACTGCCGCTTGCTCTCTTCAAACTCCTCACCCCCAGGCAGCCTGTCAACAAGCTCTTGTGTGTTGCTCAGACTACAGTCTTCACTGTGGCTGCTCCCTGTGTCTTGTACAAGGGCTTGGTTCATAGCCCCATGGTCCCATCACCAGTTCTCATCTTGATTTTCTTCTCCTGACTGTTGGCTTGTTTTCTTCCTTATATTTAGTCTGAATCTACCCTCTTAGTTTAAAACCATTGCCCCTTGTCCTGTCACAACAGGCCCTGCTAAAATGCCTGTCCACATCTTTCTCCTAAGCCCCCTTTAAGTACTGGAAGGCTGCAAGAAGGTCTCCCCAGAGCCTTCTCTTCTCCAGGCTGTGCAACCCCAACTCTCTCAGCCCGTCCTCACAGGAGAGGTGTTCTAACCCTCTGACCATTTTGGTGACCCTCCTCTGGACCCGCTCCAACAGCTCCATGTCTGTCCTGTGCTGAGGGCTCCAGAGCTGGACACAGGACTCCAGGTGAGGTTTCACCAGAGCAGAGTAGAGGGTCAGAATCACCACCCTCGACCTGCTGGCCACGCTTCTTTGGATGCAGCCCAGGATATGGTTGGCCTTCTCGGCTGGGGGTGGACATTGCCGGGTCATGTCCCGCGTTTCATCCACCAGTACCCCCAAGTCCTTCTTCGCAGGACTGCTCTCGATCCCTTCATCCCCCAGCCTGTACTGATACTGGGGGTTGCCCCCAGTATCAATGTTGGTATCTTGGAATCTTGATAATTGGTATCTTGGGAGATCAATAATCTCCCTAGAGGAAAAATGCATACACTATAAAACATATTAATTAAGCTTCCAGAACATGTAAAAGAAGAATAAAGAGACTTAAGTTCTTCTGTTGACTGTGAAACAAAGATATCCTGAAGCTAGTGCTGACTCTGGCTGATAAATCCACCCACATGATTCTGCATCTAGATCTGAGCTAGTATGTGAGGGACCAGCTCTAGTACCTCTGCACTTGCTGTGCAGTTTATCCACAGCTGGATAAAAATCAGTTGCATTAGATTCAGTAACCTGTTGATCAGTGAGCCAATCTGTTGTGGATATCTCATGCTTTTTAGTGACATTTCCAAAGGGGTTCTCAGGGACTTTGGCTTTTGAACCCAAAAAGTGAAGTCATGACTGCAGTGTGGTGTAGAAGAATTGTGTAGTTAGTGCTTAAAAGAATTAGGTAAGAAAAAGCTAATTAAATTTTCATTTCATTTGATGAGTTCCTACCAATCTTGTAGAGCAAATATATGCTAGAAATAGGCACTTGGTGGTAATTGTGTTTGCACTGAACCTGTAACTAATATGTATAGCCTGCAAGTATATAAAGAAAGTGTTTCTCATAATGATGCTTCACACAAAACTCAAAACTAACATTTGTAAACCCTTCTGAAGGGATGTCAAATGTTCATGCACAATTCTGCTCTTACTCATGTATCTCCAGTGTGTCTTGAGTTGAATGCTTTTATCATAGATTAAATAACAAAAGCTTTGACTCAGGTGGTGAATAAGAGCCTAACATTATCATAATATTAACTTCACCCTTATCCAAAAAACTTGGAGTACTAAGTCTGGAAAGAAAGCTTTATATAATTTATCTTTTATCAGTAGTATAAGTACATTGTGCGCATCCTAAATCTTGCATATTCTGGATAAAGTACTTTTAGAAAATCTAAAGTAAATGGAAGGACAAACATGGAAAAAAGCTCCATCTTAAGTATAGATTTTCAAGGAACTGTAATCTGGATTTTAAAAAATTGATAATTTGTAAATAAAATGCAAAATTCTGCTAAATTTATTGATTTAATAGCTTTGGGTGTCCTTTTGTAAAACCTAGTTTTAAAATCAGTTACATCTTCAGTTTGTTAGACGTGTAATTAAGGCAATTGAATGGTAATACTGCCTAAGGCCATTTTGGAGTTAACCAGAAAGTATTTAGGTGGTGACTGGAACATTTAACATTTCTGTAGAGAGTTTCAGCAACAAGTATTAAGACTTTATAGATGACATGTAACATATCTGGTAAGTAGTGCTCTATGGTTTGAAGAAGTATCTCTGTGCTTTAAAAAATTGTTAAAATACAACTTTTCCACACCTTGATAGTGCTATTTTAATTAATTTCTCCCAGCAGTGTTATTTCCATATATGTAATTTAGATAGCAAATATATTTTAAGTAATGTAGTACCTTAAATTTGGGGGCAGTGGTTAGTTACTGGTTTTTGCTTCAAGTTGTTAAAAAAAAAAAAAAAAAAAAACAGGAGAAAAACCTGATCTTAGTTACATCACTCTGGATCTGGACTAACTGTCTAGCAGCTCCTAAGCAATTTCTCTGTTTCTCTGATTAAAATCTGGTGCATGGTGAAGAAAGTTTATAATTTATTGCTGCTTTTTCTTCCCTATTTTGTATATCCCTGTTAAGATGTTAATTCAGTGTATTTAGAGATATTTGTGTCATCATTAACGGATTTGTTCATGCTGATTTGAATCATTGACAGGATTAAAAAAAAAAAACACATCACATTTTAACAAGTTATTTTGTACATATGATCCGGTATTTAAAAAAAATGTCAGCAAGGTATACATTTTGCACTTTCTAAATGAGCTGGCAGTGCTTCTATCTGATGATGAGGTGGGTGTGTTTATAAAACACCTTTTAGGGCTGACTGTCATGGTAAATGAAAAATTACTTTCCTGGTTCTGTACATTTTCTTCCCCAGAAGCAGTGAAAACATAAATCAGTTGGTAGCTAGCAGCTAATTGCTTAGCACTGACATACTTTAGTCAAGCGGGGGCATCGTTGGTCTTTCACAAACAGGTAATAATGGCCAAAAGGATTTAGTTGTTAAACTTAAGGAGCTGTGATATAGTAAATTACTTGCTCTATTTTTATCTTAATTTGGGAACTCTCTAGCTATAAGGTGCGTAAACAGCATGTTTGTTGTGTATATGTGCCTTTAATTATATTACATTGAAAAAAAAAGTGGGCTCAGTTCTTTCCCTCTACTTCAGACTTTGTA